GTACACTAGGGCAGCAGGGGCTCTAGGGTTCCTTGAATGATCTCTGCCTCACTTGGTCTGGAAAAAAAAAAAAAATCTCTTGTAAGGCAGGAGGAACATTTGAGACTGGAGAGGATAGAAAGCTGGCCTTCTGAGTCAGCCTGAAGTCCCCAGGTGGGAAGGGAACCTTGGGACAGAGTGTGCACCTCTTCATGGGTGGCACCAGACCCTCTTGAACATGGGGAACTCATCCCCCATCTGCGGAAGGAGCACTCATGGACACACCCCAGTTGCTGTACAGGTAGGAAGTGGCAAGGGCCTCCAAAGAGTGGGGATTGAGATCAGATGAGAACGTGGCTCTCGTAGACCCTGAGATGTAACTAAAGACTACAGATTGAGACCAGCCCTGTGGGGCTGGCTATCGAGACTTCCAGTCAGGCAAACAGTATTCCTCAGTCCTGCCTGGGAATGACACATGCAGCTCATATAGCCCCAGAGGGAGAGTGCTCACCACCTCCTTTCTCATGTAGGAACTACATGAGACATAGCATTTGGGGAAATTTATTCCAGCCTCAATTTATCTTCCTTTAGGGTTGAGATGAGGGATCATACACCCCAAGAGGAGCTGCTTCTGGCCTAGTTTGCTCAGCTGACCCAGCTTGCAGTAAGTTGGGTCTGACTCACAGGATCTGTATCCTATGCCAGCTAGTATCAGATGTAGGGGATCTGTGAAACCGAGCTGAGGTCCCACCCAAAATCATCAGGAGGGAGTCAGTGATAGATTAGTAATGTCTGCAGGGAAAGAGGAAAGGTCTGCCACCTCTAGCCTAGCTCCAAGATGCAGAGGCTTCTGCTGTGATCTGACAGCTGCACCAGGGCTATTTTTGTTCCTGGCTTTCTGTCCAGCATGGCGCCGGGCCTCCTCAGCTGTGTGACAGCATCAACTCACATCAGTCTTATAGTCAGCTGAAACATCTCCAGGTCTCTTCACAAGAATAACTGTCAGGTCAGATCTTCCACATCTTGTTGTTGTTACTTTCCTTATGTGGGCATAAAAGTAATTGCAGTCAGTCCCTTTTAGGTGGGCATCTAGATTTGTTCCTAATCTTGCAAAATCCTTATATATACCCCTTTGTGTGTTGGTCTTCTTGGCTTAGCATGTGCTTAGAATGATTGCATACTCTAGGGTGTTCAACCCTGTCAGACCTACATTTAGGGAGAAGCTTCCCCGGAGAGCTGAACCTAGGTTGGAGGGTGGGTGGGACATAGAACCAGGGTTCAAGAGGCTGGAGGAGGTGCCAGGTCAGAATGTAGGGCCTGATGTGGATGTTGCCATCCCAGAGTCCTAGATGGAGATTAATACAGAACATCCCCCCACTTACAACATGGCGATATCCTGGGAAATATGTCCTAAGTTGAAGTTGATGTGTTGGCTCTCCCACAAACTCATTGCACAGTAGAAAAATCTGAGTGCGAACTTCTATACCTTGGGACACTGTGAGCCTCTGGCTGCTTCCCAATAGGCAACAGACAGTTCTTGCAGCCCCTTCCTCCAAAAGAACATGTGGTGGGGTGGAATGAGCCTCATGAAGAAGTTGTGGGGGGATGCCACAGAGAAAAGTCACCCTGGGTCCCTCCCTGGGTGTTCAGGTGTCCATCAGAGTTGAATGGTGTAGCCCTGTTCATGCCTGCCCTAGCATTGGCTATAAGAGTGTCTTTGCTCATTGGCTTGGCAGCATGAGCCTTTCTGCTTGTCTTCTCCCCCCTTAATCCAATAAGGAAAAGCCTCTGTTGGTGTGTGACACTGTGTGGCCTTGGATTTGTGTTGTTAAACAGGTCCTTGAGGCACATGGGGAAGGTCGTGCATGCTGGCTTTTGTCCTCACATCTGCAGTAGAGACCTGTGAAGTTGTTCATTCTTTTATGGTGGGGGTTAGAGCAGGGTCTAGACTTTTTACATGATTATGTTTGTGTGTGTGTGTGTGTGTGTGTGTGTGCGCGTGCGCGCGCGCGCCACAGCATATGTATGGAGATCAGAGGACAACTTAAAGGAGAGTAGGCTTTCCTTCCACCATAAGGGTCCCGAGGCTGAGGATTAAACTCAGACTGTCAGCTTTGGCAGAGAGTAGCTTTACCTGCTGACCCATCTCTCTGATCCTGGGTGTGTTTTTCTAGGCCATGCAGAGCCTGTTCCACCATACATTTTCATTCCTATAGACTTGACAGGTGACCCCAGCTGAGTAAGACTGGCTTGGCTCTGGAGCAGGCACTGATGAGCTGCCTTTTGATGACTTCACCCCCTCCCGTCTCAGAGAGGGAGCTCTGGGGAGACCTGGCTTTCGCTCTCAAGCATATTCTGGAAACCTATTGGCCCAAAACTGCCCAGAGCAGTAACACAGCTCTAGAAAGCTCCTGTCTGACTTCTTTCATCCTAGGCCCATCCCAAAGTTACCCTCTCTAGGGCAGACACCCACTTTAATGTCTCATCCTTGGAGATGTAGCCAGCTGGGATAAATCTCTGTCCTTAGCGCCTCTGCTCCAAGCTGAAGTCTGTTGAGTAGGCTGAATCTCCCAAGCTTGCAGGCAGCCTAGGCCCTGCTCTCTCCCCATGGTCAAGGAACAATGAATGTCCTGCCCTTGAAGCTGTTCTCAGGCCAGACAAGAAAAGACTGAATCCCTTTGACTGCTGCCCCTCCACCCTGGGCATGAGGGTCAAGGGTAGCACCATGACTCAGCCTAGCCCACTCTTCTCTGACTGAGCCCCTTGTGGTTCTGATGCAGTCTGTCAACCACCAAGGAGCTTCAGGCTCTGCTCCAGAGATGGTGGTGACTGCTGTCTTCTCGACCTTCTGATTTGGGCATCAGATGGTTTAAAATACCCTACAGAAGTCCCAAGCTGTATTTCCTTCAGTTCAATACATGCAAATCCAGCCCCTAACCAGAACGTGCATTCAGTTGAGGGGCATGCATGCATCCCTGTGTGTGCTGACCCACTTGACTGAAGTGGGGCCCAAGTTTGGGATCAGAGAGCATGGGTGGGCTTTCCCAGTGGAGGCTGTTCTGTACCCTGGGTGGCCCAATTCTAATGGTACTTATTTACTCTTTCCTATGACAGTTGGTTCAAGTTCTGAGAATATAATGAAGAGTGCTAAGTTCCAGCAAACAGTAGAAGAATTTTCAGATCTAGCATCCAAAGGACACTGGATCAGGAGTACAAGGGCAACAAGGGGTCAGGTGGCTCTGTGGTACCCAGAGAGCCTTGAAGGGTGTTGTTTCTTGGGTTGAGTTACTAATACTACTAAAATGAACTATAGACAGTGCCAGGCAAAGCATGTGTCTCCCAACTCTTCATCCAGGTCCTCCTCAAATAATGGCTGTCATCCTTAGCCACTGAGGCATGTTGGGAGCTCCAGTGCCCTCCCTGGAGGTCAGAGTCAGTTACTGTCTCAGAAGCCCTGTTTCTAAGCCACAGGCCAGAGGCAGGCTCTGAGATTTGCTGCTGTCCCTGGTGCATAGTGATCAGAGTCCAAGAGCAGGCAATGTTGGCCCTCCCTGCCTCAGGTCCCTTCCACAGGCCCCACCCTGGGGACCCCCTGGAGAACAAAAACAGGACTCTAGTAGAGCTGAGCACAGGCAGACAGTGCCAGGCTGCTTAGTGCAGGACATTCCTCGTTGGTCTGAAGAGCGGACATTTTGAAAAGGACTGCAGCCTGGGTATGGCCCTTGCTCTTTTCTCTCTGTGCCCATTCTTGAGACCCCCCCCCCCCCGCTCCAGGGAAGACAGGCCTTTTAAAGTCCCTGCCAGCGCCTGGGTGTCTGGTCACACAGGGACAGGGAGCCTGGCAAAGGATGAGGGCTTCTGTTATAGACTCTTCAAGTCAGTGTCTCCTTTTTCTCCCCATCCCTCCCTCACTGAAAAGCGACTGCAGAGGAAAGAGTGTCTGTGCAGAATAGAATGTTCCAGGCCCAGGGCTGGGATGAGTCAGCAGCCAGTCCCTCTGTTCCCACTGGTTGGCTGGCCTTGCTTCTGCTTGGCATGAAGTTACTCTGTGAAGCAAAAGGCACAGAGGTGGAAGAGGACCTACTTACTGCCTAAAGTACCTGGGACAGTGTTTACACAGGCCTCACTTTCCTTACCTGTGGGCAATGTTAAAATGTAAAGCACTTGCACAACATCGTGTTTGCTTCTAAGCCTGCCATGATAAATGCCAGAGGTGGACCTCATCCACAGGCCTTCATTATTTGCAGGCTCTGGAGGTGTTGTCAGTCTGTGTTGAAGGTGTGGCCTGGCTGTGTTCTCCTGAGCCTCTCTCCTTGGTGTGCCGCCTTCTGCTCATGTGTTCACGTTGTCTTCCCCCATACATGTTGTATCCTGCATATCCTGCATTCCCCTTATTAGAAGGACACCAGTTCAGTTATCCTAGGATCCACCTTAATGTCTTTCCGTTTGATGATCCTATCTTCAGGGAGCTAGAGAGATGGCTCAGCTGTTAAAAACACTTGCTCTTACAGGAAGACCTAGCACTCCACATGGTGGTTCACAACTGTGTGTAACTCTTGTTCCAGGAGATATATATTCTTCTGACCTCTGCAAGCACAGATGCATACATACATACAAACAAAACACTTATACATATAAAGTAAAGGTAAATTAATTTTAAAAGATCCTGTCTCCAGATGTAGTCATGGGGATATGGAGTACAAAACCAGCCCTACATTTAATTCTGGTTGTAAGAGACACAGTGATCTTATTTTTTCAAAACACAATGAGCACCAGGCTCTGTTCTAAGTGCCAGATTCCATCAGCACCACCATGGGTCAAAACCTCTGTCTTTGGAGGGTGATACTTGGTTGGGAAACCAATCTCCCAGTACAGTATGCCAGATGTTAGAACAGAGTCAGAAGCTCCAGGAAGATGAAGAACAGGGGACTCGTGGGGTCCCTGGCTACCTAGGGGCATTCTTATTTGCTCCCCAAGTTCTGATTCTCTATTTAGCATGTGTCTCTCCTCTCTCTCTGCAGTGTTGAGGGTGAGGCCCCCAGCAGTGAGACTGGCACATCGCTGGACAGCCCCTCAGCCTACCACCAGGGTCCCCTGGTACCTGGTTCCAGCCTGAGCCCAGACCACTACGAGCACACATCAGTGGGTGCCTATGGGCTATACGCAGGGCCAGGACCACAACAGCGCGCACGAAGGCCCCGGCTACAGCACTCAACCTCTGTCCTGCGCAAGCAGGCTGAGGAGGAGGCCATCAAGCGTTCTCGGTCACTCTCTGAGAGCTATGAGCTCTCTTCAGATCTGCAAGACAAGCAGGTAGGTAGCAGGGGTCCCTGCCCACCTTTCATGACCTCCCAAGTAACACAAGACCTCAGTTACCAGATGCTCCTAGCAATGGGTTCCAGATACCAGCTGGGGTGCACATTTGAGAACCGGGATAGCTCTACTGGGAAAAGATTTCACTAATGGCCAGGGGCCCTGACATCCTTTCTGGGGACTTATAGAATCCTCTTCAAATGTTGCTTTTGTATGTTTCCATATCCCTCATTGCTAGGATCTGTGGCCTATGTTGAGCATATAAGATTCATGGCCCAGCACCACCAAGCCACAGGTTGCCAAGGTGGCCATGGAGGTTCTTAGGGCCCAAGAAAGGCCTTGGGGGATTGCTTATTATATCCCACTGTGGCTTGTAGCTCCTCAGCCTCTAGAGGAAGTCTTCATTGAATGCCGCAGCTCTTCCTTGGGCCTCAAACCCAAGGTCAGGTAGCCTGGCCCACTTTGGGGGTTGTTGTGAGCAGAGCAGATCCTTATGGTACAGTGCCCAGCAGAGAACAGGCTGGTATGGGAGTGAAGGCCTGCTGTTTGACTGTGTCTCTGAGCAATTCCAGGTTTCAGGAGATCTCTGAGCTTCATGGATGTGTAGAGACAAGCAGAATGTCTTTGGGCTTTGTGCTTTGGGCATGCTCCCATGTCTCCCAGGCAATCCCTCAGCCGTGGACGGACACCAGGACCCCTTCCCACAGCCCACAGCCCACAGATGTGGTCTTTCTTCCAACCATATCTGCTGGCTGCTTTGTTCCATTTGCTCTCCAAGGACCTCAGTCCTTGAAGGAACAGAGGTCTAGGTTTGTGCAGTCTCATCTTCATGAGGGTATTGTGGGGTGCCCTCAGGGTGGATCTTCTCCCTTGTCAGACACCCCTCAATCTTGACCTCTCATACCTGGGGTGGTGCTTTGTGACACAGGAGGCACTGCCCTCCTCTCCTCACATGCTTTATCCTCCTCGTCAGACTCACAGCGGCCCAGTAGCAGATATACCCCCACTGTGGACCTTGATTCCTTTGCCAGGACAGCAGCAGGCAGAACAGCCTCTACTGGGTTTCTCAGATCTGCAGAGATCCAGAGTGATGCCTGAAGAGTTTGTTATAAAAGTCATCTGCACAGGACCACGAAATGGAATTGGACAAGGTTGAGCCTGCATGTAGGGATGATTACTTGCCATAAATATGCAGCCGTTCACCTTCATTCCACCCATAGCTGAATTTCCCCAGATAATAGGATAGGGACAGCCTGCAAGATGAGGCTGCTGCACCTGAGTGACATTCCTGGACAATGGATGGACAAGCGAGTCAGCATTAAGATATTTCACTGCAGGAAGTGACATAGACCCTGGGGGTCTTAGTTCTGGAGGAGGAAGTAGAGGAAGTCTTTGAGTATTGGCTGTATCAGATGACAGTAGCTGGTCTGAAACTAGGTATTTGGAGAAGAGCTTACCATATGTGCCAAGGCTTTGGGACAAGAAGGATCTTGGTGTATGTGAGAGATTGAAAAGGTGTTATTGAAGAGTTGGCACAGAGGCAAGAGGCGCTAACATTAGCAGTCATGTAGTGCTCCATGCTGCCGGAGCTTCCTGGCTACAAGGCAAAAGTAGGAGTAGGGTAGGTTACATGAGAATTGGGAGGGGAAGTTAGGAGTCCCGTCTTAGGGAAATCAGATGCATTCTCCTTAACCCCACCCTCCACGCCTTCCTTTCCTGTCCCTGGGACCAGAGCATGACCTCAAGTCCCTGAGCAGTGCAGGTGTGCTTTGTTGAAGTCAATTCCTCTGGATCCTCATGCATAATGCTTTGAGTTAATCCTCAGCAACTGAGCCCATAAGGGTGAGTCCTGGCCCCAGAGCAGGCCTCCCTGCCACTGACTGTGAAGTCTGGCTCTTAGCTTCCCTCATGTCATCTGAGAGCAGGGATAGTAGAGTCCCTTGTCTCAGTACAGTAAGAACCGTGTGAGGGCATGGCATTCCCATGGCTAGCACGAGGGTTAGTTGCTTTCCCTCCTCTGCATCCCAGAAGATCTATAGATGGGGTCTCTTCCAGATCAGTGAGTTCAGGAGTGTCTGCTTAGTGAACAGGATGGACCCTAGTCCCTAAGGTCCAAGGCATTAAGGAAGGCCCTGGAGTAAGACTTGGGGACTCTGGTGTCTCTGAAGTCCTTGGCGGGGATTCCAGGCCAAGGCCTTCTTAGGCAAGGGATTGAAGAAATGTAGGAAGGGGGCTTCTCAGGCTCAGCCTTTGTCCCTTCCTGGCCCTGAGGTTTTTTACCACTCAGTCACTCTCACTAGTAGTTTTACTTGTCGGTGTGGTAGTACAGCCATCTCTGGATGGCAGGGAAAGAACTCCCCCAGAGCCTCCTGGCTGTCCTCAAGCCCCTTCCTGGTAACCCTGAAATGTGTGCAGAAGGGGTCTCTCCCAGGCTTGGACCACAGCCCTGCTTTGTTCTGTGTCTCTGGTGTTCTGTATCACACTGTGCATCTTTCTAACCTCACAATTCTCTGCTTCTCCAGGGCAGGGACCTTGTGTGTCTCCCTTTTGCATTGCCACGCATGCTAAGATGCAGGTTCATGGTGCCGGCTTGGTGAAATCAGGATTTCACCTCATTCTGTGAACCTGGACCCTCTCCTCATCCCCACATAGATACAGCCCTGCCCCAGCAGCCAGAGACAGATTGCTGATTCCTGCAGACCAGATTATAGCTGAGTGTGTTTCCTACTCACCCAGAGTCCAGACTCAGGATTAGCCCCCAGGCTGGGCAGGCTGTGAGTCCTGAGACTTGAGGAGGCCATGGGTCACTCTTGAGAGATGCCGAGCTGAGGTGCCTGAGAGCTTGCCTAGCACCCCTCCCAACTCACAACCATGCCCGTCAGAGCTCCTGGAGCTACAGGACAAAGAGGGAGCACTGGCCTTGCCAGTCTTCCCTAGGCCTCAGCTCAGCCTTCTGTGTAGCAAGCAGGACAGAGATTTCACAACTGCAACTGTCATCTAAGAATGGGGCTGCTCTTCATCCAGCTGCCCCGGCCTGTGCCAAGCACCTGCCTTCCATCACTGTGAGCTCACCAGAGCCTTAGAAAGTGGGTCCTACTGTTGCCCTGTGTCACAGTTAAGGAAATGGGGAACTTCATGGTTCCAAGGCTCATCCAGAGCCTAGGCAGCCTTCTGACATGCCTCAGGTTCCCCAGCTCTGGGTTCATATCTGTAGGCACATCTTCAGAAGACTTCCAAGGCCCATGACTTTTATGGCCAGAGGTACTGGGATTCTCAGCACATGTGTGCCCCCACCTTTACCCTATCCCAGTACTTACTTATTCCATTTGACACTGAAAACCTCCAGTAGCCCCAAACTGCTATCTTAAGCACCTTGCGGATGTGATGTGACCATCCCAGGTTACATCCCTATGGAGTATAGGAAAGGGTAGATATCTATCTCTGTGCCATCATACACGGCCCACATTCTCCTCTCCTTACTCCACCAGGTGGAAATGCTAGAACGCAAGTATGGGGGACGCCTTGTGACCCGCCATGCAGCCCGCACCATCCAGACGGCGTTCCGCCAGTACCAAATGAACAAGAACTTTGAGCGCCTGCGCAGCTCCATGTCGGAGAACCGCATGTCACGCCGCATCGTGCTGTCCAACATGAGGATGCAGTTTTCCTTCGAGGGCCCCGAGAAGGTGCATAGCTCCTACTTTGAGGGCAAGCAAGTCTCTGTGACCAATGATGGCTCCCAGCTGGGGGCCCTAGTGCCATCAGAATGTGAAGACCTTAACGACCCAGCCCTCAAGTCTCCAGCACCCTCCAGTGACTTTGCAGACGCCATCACGGAACTGGAGGATGCGTTCTCCCGGCAGGTAAAGTCCCTGGCTGAGTCTATCGATGATGCCCTCAACTGCCGCAGCCTACACAGTGAGGAGTTACCGGCCCCGGACACTGTGCGGGCCCGGGACACTGAGCCCAAGCCAGGCCTGCATGGCATGGACCACCACAAATTGGATGAGATGACAGCCTCATATAGTGATGTTACCCTCTACATTGATGAGGAGGAGCTGTCACCACCTCTACCGCTCTCACAGGCTGGGGATCGCCCTTCCAGCACAGAGTCAGACCTGCGGCTAAGGGCTGGGGGTACAGCCCAGGACTACTGGGCCTTGGCCCACAAGGAGGACAAGGCTGATACAGACACGAGCTGCCGAAGCACACCATCTCTGGAGCGGCCAGAACCACGGCTGCGGGTAGAGCACCTTCCCCTGCTCACCATTGAGCCACCCAGTGACAGCTCTGTGGAGCTCAGTGACCGCTCCGATAGAAGCTCACTCAAGAGGCAGAGTGCCTATGAGCGCAGCCTTGGTGGACAGCAAAGCAGCCCCAAGCATGGCCCCCACGGTGGCCCCCCCAAAGGCCTCCCCCGGGAGGAGCCTGAGTTGCGGCCTCGGCCCCCTAGACCTCTTGAGAGCCACTTGGCCATCAATGGTTCAGCCAACCGGCAGAGCAAGTCTGAGTCTGACTACTCAGATGGGGACAATGATAGCATCAACAGCACATCCAACTCCAACGACACCATAAACTGCAGCTCTGAGTCCTCGTCGAGGGACAGCCTGCGGGAACAGACACTCAGCAAGCAGACATACCACAAGGAGACCCGCAACAGCTGGGACTCACCAGCCTTCAGCAATGATGTCATCCGTAAGAGGCATTACCGAATTGGCCTGAATCTCTTCAACAAGTGAGTTTTCCCTTCATGCATGGATGACAGATGTGCATGTCCTTGGTAGTCACAACCCTGGGGCCAGGCAGGGTAGGCAAGAGGCAAATTCATTTACCTTCCTTCCTGCTGTGAGTCTGCCCACACCTGTACTGAGACTGAAGTTTTAGGCAGTCTTTGTAAGGTCCAGGCAGGATGCTGTACCGTGTTTATGCTTAGAGAAACTCTGAATCCTAGAAGTTCCAGATCTTTCCAAGGGCCATTTGTGGAGGTGGCAGGTGTTCCTGGGCCAGACAGCAGAATGGGGACTTTTCTGTGGTAAATCCCTACCCATCATGCCCACCCAATGTGAAGCACAAAGGTCTTGGAATAAGCTGGGGACAGAAAAACAAGGTTTGTCTCTGAAAGGGCTCAGGAACAAAGGCTGTCGCTGACAGAACAGTGGACTGGGACATTTGAGTGGCTGCTCTGGAGGGGTTCAGGGAAGGTGCAGCCGGGCGGTCCTAAGAGCCAAGCCATGGTAAGAGGTGGATATTTAAAGTAAACTATTCTTAGCAGGGTCAAAAATAGCATGGGAAGTAGGGAGGGCTAAGCACACATTCGGAGGGGACCTTGGCAGCTCTTGTTTAACCTGAGATTTCACATTTCCTTCCCTGGGACTCTGGGATTTGGGGTCATCAGACACCAGCCTGGTGTGGTCTCCCTGGGGGCTGTGAACTTGGAAAACATGTGACTAGCCTGCCTGCTGGTTACAAGCATATACCCTGGGAGTTTCCCAGAAGGGCCACGGGAGGGTAGTGGGGCACAGTGGGAGTCAGACACATCTGAGCCACACCTCACTGCTCCCTGCTGCTCATCCAAGACTAGGATGGCATGATTTCGAGTATCCCTAGAGGTGCAGATGGACCGGGACAGCAGAGGGGCCTGGTGGGGAGGGTGTGGTGTATAGCCTTCATGGAGGCCTCCAGGAGCTGAGTCTTTGATCCCCTCACATTTGCTATAACCGTAGTTCCTGTAACCTCTCCCCTTATTGCAGCCTGCTGTATGTAAGAGCCACCCTACATTGTGCAAGCCACAGCCAGAGCCTGCGGGTCATTAATGAGTGTGTCCTGCTTAGTCCACGTGTCCTACTTGGCCTTTCTACTCCTATACACTGCCCTGCTCCAGGACTGCCTCTCAGCCCAGGCTGGGGTAATGGGGGCTGCAACAGAATGAATGGGTGGAGGCCAGCAGTAGGGTATAGGAAGCAAAGAGAAAGAATGTCCTTGACCAACCAGCTCTGGCCTTTGCAGATTCTTTTTTGATCTATCATTACTTAATTACGTGTATAACACACAAATATATCTTGTCTGACAGCAAAAGCTTTACAGTTCAGGATGTGTCATCTTTGACTTGTGGGCGCCTTTCCTTCCTTTGTATGTATGTGCAGGTGTGTGCGTGCATGTGTGAGAGAGGGATCCTGCTTGCGTGATGCTTGCATGTGGGGACCAGGGGTTGATGTCAGGTGTTCTCTTGCATTATCCACCTTTTTCCGATGCAGTCTCTAACTAATCCTGGAAGTCAGTGATTCAACTAGGCTGGCTGGCCAGTGAGCCTCATAGTCTGCCTGCCTCCACCTCCCCAGCACCGGGATGATAGATAGATTCTTTGCATGGGTGCTGGACATCAAACTCGGGCCTCTATAATTGCACAGCAAGCTACTTGATGACTAAAACTATCTCCCCGAGCCCATCCATGTCTTTTTCTTTGTGGACCTACTCTGTGTTTTCCATATCTGTGAAACAGGGTTGGTGCTGATGACACCTCCTTTTAGACACTAAGAATGCAAGGTTGGTATATGCAGAGTACAAGGACAAACAAACATATGTGTTGCTGTTACTTGACCTGGCTCCCATCACGGTGGCCTGGGTTAGATGATTTCAACCTAGGACCTCTCAGAGGTCTACTGTTGAAGGAAGGTCTTGCTTGCCAAAGGTCTTGCTTGCCAAAGGTCTTGCTTGCCAGTGATAATAGACCTTCTTTCCTGTGTGCCACGTGGGGTGCACCCCAGCATGGTCTTCTGAAGATTATTTAGCTGTTACTTCAGCCTCTTCATGTCTCAGTGCCTTCTCAAGATGACAGCGGAGTGGAATTATAGGCTCCTGGGTAGAGACTTCCTTTAGCATCAGAGCTGCCAAGTTCATGTTTAAAAGGGACTATCCTGTTTCCCACCTCTGGATCTGAGTGCCAGCTCCCCAGCCACACCATTTTGTATTGTCCTGCTTCCTCTGGGCAGAGTGTAGATTATGTTATTGTAATTTGCATTTTCTGCTTACTTTGAAGGCACCATCTACTAGCACCTCTCCATTTCATCTCTATAAGATACCTTTCAGGTTATTTGTCCATTTATTCATTGTCAGTTTTTTCCAGTTCATCTTGAATTTATCCCTCATATTTTGAGGCAGGATCTGGTTAAATTCCCCAGGCTTGACTGGAGCTCACTATACAGCCCCAGCAGGCCTTGAACTTATGGCCCCTGCCTCAGCCTCCTGATGTTCAGTGTTTGTCACTTTTGAGGGCATGTCATCATGAGAGGCCTTCTTAAGGATCTCTTTCAGAATTACAAGTATGTCCCCTGCTGCTTCCTTGTCTTTCTCTTAGAGTTTTCTTTGTAGATATAACTTGAACACAATGAGGACCCTGTGAAGCATCTAATTAGCTTTAGCTACACTACTCTTATCTGATGGATGTATTTAATTTCACTTAGTGCCTTTGTGTTTGAAATTTTTTTTTTTTTTTTAACATTTTGTTTTGTAGTCTTCTAATTATTTCGCCCTGCTGGGGACTGAACACAGGGCCTTACAAAGGCTAGGCAAGTGCTCACCACTGAGCCAAATTCCAACCCTTACTATCAGGTCTAATCATTATACTTTTATACATCTGCTGTGCATGTGTGTGCTCATGCGTGTGCAAGTGCCGATACTCATGTGTGTACCCATGCATAAATGCCATCTCCAAAGCCCCTCATGTGTCATGGTATTAAGACAAGGACCTCTCCAGTGTCACGTGCTTCACAGATAATTATTCCTCATGAATTTTAGAACCAACTCATGGAGATCTTTCAGTGGAAACTGGATCTACCTCCAGATTGGATGTGAATTTGGAGAGATAGCCCCTTTACATTGGCAGAGACTGTTCTGGAAGGCCCAACCTAGGGGTGTGCATTAATTAAAACTAATAAAAATTAACTTGGCTCTCCAGGGGCACTAGTCATGTGTGGTTACGAGAGACCAGGGTAGGTACATAGCTGTGAAACAGGCCAGTCCAGCCTAGTGCCCAAGGGGGCAGCTTGCAGCAGCAGCTCTGGTTCTGAGAGATCTAGCTCTTAGTGGAGCAGATACCAAGACCCTGGCTGGTTCCCAGCTCAGCAACTAACAAGCACCCAGCCTCATTTTCCTCCTTTACTCCAATCACAATGCCAGGTCAGGGAGCATTGGAAATTCTGAGAGAATTTGTTGCTGTAACTTGGCCAGTTAAGCCAGACCTCTTTGCTAGTCTTAGAGCTTTTTGGTCAATTTCTAAAGTTCTTCCATAGATGTGGAGAAGAGCTCTAGGGCTCAGAACTGGCTGGCAGCTCAAAGTTTAGTTCACAGAATCCCAGGACCCTCCAGGGATAAGTCTGAGAGCCTGAGCTCTCATGGCTGGGCTGGAGTGTAATTGCTTTGCCTCAGGCCTCCATTGTTCTTCAGCAGTCCCAGTACCATGCCAGGCCCCGAACCCTAAAACCCGATATTCATTCCCTCTGACTTTACTCCTTCTGCTTGTCTCCTCTCTACAGCTCAGGACCCTCCCAAGGGTCTCTGGTTTCCTGCCCTCACTCCTGCTGTCCCTTCAGGCCCCACCTTTGCCTGCACACCTGAGTCCCCTCCAGGACAAATAGGTTTTACTAGCTCTCTGACAAGTGAAGCCTATCTGTCCAGAGCACCCCCCGCTAGGAGTCTGCAGAGGGTTGCATGGTGACCCACAGTGAGAGAGCCAGAAAAAGAAAATGAATCGGGAGAGCTGGGAAAGTGAGGTGAGTACTGAGGGCCTCACTAAGGAGACTGTGCCACCTCTAGATGTCCTCAGGCCCCTGTCTCAGGCTCCAGGATGCTCAGCCCCCTGTCCAGGCCCCAGCTGCACATCTGGTAGGCAGCTTTCAAAGAGGGCAGGAATCCAGAAACTCCAGGCAGAAGGGGACCAACTATACCACTGGTCTACCCTAAGACCTGGAGTGTACCACTGGGTCTCTGAGCCTCATTTGGCACACTTGAAAAAATGGGTGTGGGCTGCTGCTCCCAGGACTTGGATGGGATTTGAGACAAAGGGGGTGAAGGCCTGGCCTGCAGCTGCCATCTCAGGAGATACTATGGGTGGCTGCTTTCGTGCTCAACTTAGCCTTTGCAATCAGACCTCCTACCACCCAAGACGCCTTGGAGGCACTTCTTGGCCCTGTGCAGCTGGCTGTGGGAGGGGCGGATGAGTATTCATGCTCCATAAGGTCATTTCACAGTCTTATTCTTGTCCTCACTCAGAGCCATCCGTAGCTGCTATTGCCATTGAGAGCTTGTAGTGGAATGATGATGAGAGGCTGAATCAACATGATGTCTAGGAAAGCAGGCCTAGCCAGACTTAGAGGAGGCAGACAAGGCAGACCTGGAAGTAGACAGCTGGGTGAAACTGTGAGTGAGTGAAACGGGCTCCCACCCATTTCAGAAAGACCTCTAGGTCCAGATGATGAAGTGGCTGAGGTGTAGAGGGCAGAAGCCAGTACTTTCTGATGCTAGGGCCTCACAGACTGTATTCTAGGAAGCTGAATTTCCATTGCAGCATCTGGGTGGTAGCTGAGAGCCTTGGGTTCCTGAGGCAGCAGAGTATTTTAAAGACCTGGCACTGTCTTGCTGGGCACCTTGGAACTGAGTGACTTGACTCTTCTGGCCCCTCATTTCGTTGTCTCTAAAGAGAGTGGTTCCCTCCACCAGGAACCCTCCTAACTCCCTAGACAGCACCTCAGAAGGCCCCATTCTCTCCAACCATGAAATTGAAGACACATTTTGTCCAGGCTGCTTTGATGTCCCTCTGGTTAGTTCTGCTCATACCTGGCCTGTTTCCTCCTTATAGTCTGCACAGTTCCCAGGGGCTGGGTGGAAGATTCCAGCTTGAACTTCCTGCTTCACTCTTGCCAGGTGACCCAGTCATCTCTAGGATACAAAGGCCCCTGAGAGGTAAAGTAACTTGCCCCAGGGTCCCCAGTCAGTAAATGGAGCTGAGATTTAAGCCCAGGCCTCCTGTTATCTCTCCACAGCCAGATCCCTACCTGCCTCACACATCAATGAGAAAACATGATTTTGGAGGGTGGAGACTTGGTTGGCCTATGGCAGGTGGCCACAGAGGACTGTGGCACACCCCTCTACTTACCGTTCAAAGACCAAATGGGTTATTGGCTTCCTTCCCGTAGGGAAACCTGAATAGAGGCCACCATATCCATATAGGACAGGGATAGCCTCACTCATTCATAGTGGGGGAAGGACTGCAAGGTTATCCATAGCAGGGGCTACATAGCATGCATATCCAGCCAAATGGCTTTCCACCTGCATGGAGGCCAGTGTGAGGTAGTCATCCCTGCAGAAAGCCTTTGAGGCTGCCATTGGGCCAGGGCTACCCCTTATCACAGCCTGTCCCCACTGTCTACCATCTCACAATAGCTTGCAGCTCCTAGTCCCTGCTCCTCAGATCCAGATACTGTGGCTTGTTCTGTGACATACAGGTAGGGTCAGTCCCTTCTACCCTGGGCTTGGGTCACAAGCAGCAGTCAAGGATTATGAATCTGTCTTCTACCTGTACCCCTGGCCACCACATACAAGCTTATACAGATAGACACCAGCAGAGACCAGGCCCCAAGTTGACCTCTACCCTGCTCTTCCACTGTACAATGACTAGGTGCCAGAGCACCCCTAGTTTGGCTAGTATGGTGCCCTGGCTCTGATCCCCTCTGACCAGCCAGGGGAAGCTTCTAGAACACTGAAACTGACTCTGAAGCATCCTCTTCCAAGCATGCAGGCCTCTGAGCCCACTCATCTGCTATCCGTCTACCCTTCCGATTCCCTCCCCCGGTCTCCACTGCCAACCATCCTGGAACAGCCTGGTACTCTCATCCATCAACATCTCCACGGGCCTCTACCTAGAGGGTATCCCTAGGCCTTGCTTAGAAAGACCCTCTCTGTTGCACTTAAGGGTATGCCCTCCTCCCTTAGCTCCCAGCCCCCAGCCATGCCACCAGCCCAGTGTCCACAGCAGCTCTGTGCCTGACACCTTAACCTCTGAAGAGTTGATGCTCTGGAAGATGCCACAGCCTAGCACCCTATAGAATATCCCCACTTTCCTGGCAAGATGAACATGTCAAGAAGCCCTGATATTATGAGCCTGTCTGTGTATAAGAAGTAATAATATGCCCAAAGCAGGGGGCAGAATACCCATTGGGGTGGGGAATGGACCAGGTCATCTTGGGCTATTTCATTATCAGTTGTGCGAGGACATGACTGGCCAGCTTCAGGGACTCAGCTCATCTGCAAGACACTGCTGTCAAGGGACCAGTATACACTGGTACTTGTTCTGTCTCCTGCCCAGAAGACAGAAGAGTAGACCTCTGCTCACTGGGATTAGGGAGTGTGATCTTGACACTTAATGGGCACAGGGATGAGTGTGCTTGGGCTGACCTAGAGCACACCTCACTGCTTAACAGCTCTCAGAGACTGTGGACAGAAGCAATGGGAGCCACTCTGATCCAATGGCCCAACCTGGCCCTAGGCGTTCCACACAGCTCCAAGTGGTCTGTGGGCCCTCCAGAGCAGGACATACATCCTGAGAGTCACCTGTACAGCTATTTTCAAACTCACTCATGTCGTCCTCTGTGACAGCAGGCCCTCGCTTCCAGGTGAGCCGAGGGCTCACATTTACACAAAAACAGACAGGAAGTCAGAGGCTGAAGGCAGGAAGAAACCTGTCCGCATCAGAGGATGCCACTTCCCTCCTTTCCCTGGACCTTGAATTTCCCTACATACAGCCAGCTGGGGGTCAAAGGAAATATGCTCTGCCCTGGAACCAGAACAGGGTATAGGCTCTGTCTGTACCTGCTGTGTCTGACCTGTATGTGCCTCGAGGATCTAGCCAGTGAGACCATACCCTGGCAGGGGCTGGGGGAGACACACTGAACCCAGACACCTCCCGACTGTCGTCCTGGCCTCCCCGCAGGGCCAGTGTGCAGCCTCTGGCTCTGCTCCTGCAGCACAGTTTGCTTAGCCCGAAGCTTCCTGGTGCTGAGCATGTACTTCCTCCCAGGGCCTGGATGGCCCTGGTGCGGTGTCAGTAGGTAGAGACCATTTCCTGTCTTCAGCTAGTTTCTTGTCCCACTTCCCTCTTTGGGGGTAGAGAGTACAGACAGAAGGGAAAACACGGAAACTATCTGTATGGGAGAGACAATTGGATGGGATAGTAGGAGCGACTGATGGGAGCAACAGGTTGGCAGGAGGTGTGTAGTGTTTCACATCTGGGTCTGCAGTGGGCTTGCTTTCTATATGCCAAGCCCAGAACTGCAGGGGTTACATGCCTGTGTTCCCAGCAGGCTTTGGGTGCCAGCTGCGATACTTAGAGTTTGGAGTTCTTAGAGGACTTAGGGTACCAACCAGGAGTGGTCCTTTTGCAGTACAAATCATTGCATCACTATCAGGAGGAGCAGAAGCAGGTCCAGCAAGTCGGGGAGCTGGAGTCCCAGATCTCTGGTGGCTGAGGCTGGAATGAGTGTTGTGTCATTGTCATACCCACCCTTCCCCCCATTTGCCAGCCTTTTCTCTGGTCCTAGAGGCTGCCTGGAGGTATCTCCCTTTCCTGTCTGTGACAGTCTTCTGTCTCTTCCTCCTCCTCCATTGAGCTCTCACTATGTCTTCTGTCTGTATAGCCCTGGAAGGTTCAGATTGATGGGGTGTCAGCTAGCCTAGTAAAACTCTGAGGCTCTGGCTCTCAAGCTGGGGCCCTGTTGAAGCTAAGATTTGTGGCCCCCTTGCCTTCAGGAGCCCCTCCTACCCCTATCTCTGACTTAGCTGTCCATACACGTAGAGAGAACATGCAGCTGAGTGTGTGTGTGCATGTATGTAGGTGTGCACAAGCTCGAAGTCACATAGGGTGACAATTGCTGAGCTGTAGGGGCAGGACTCTGAATTGGTACAGGTGGGTCTTCCACAGGGACTGGGTACAGTAACCAAGTGTTAGGATCCCTCCTCATTACCTGTCTGCAGTGTCCATGTGGATGAGCAGCAGCAAATGTGTCACTGTGTGGATTGCAGAAGTGGCGATCGGTAATTCTGGGAATCATGTCTCCAGCATCCACAGGATCCTCCCCAGTGCCAGCAAGGGATCTCAGCAGTTGAATAAAGGGCTTGGAACCAGACAAGGCAGGAGCATGTTATTTTGAACTCTGAAGTTAGCACCCTTGCTCTGCACAGGAGGGCCAGGGAACAAGGAAGGGCCAGGGGCTGGAGTAGATAAACAGAGTTAACAGGCTATGGAACATCAATTGGAAGTAGGTCTATTCAGAGATCCAGCAGTCATTACTGAGAATTCTTCTTGTCCACCCCACCCAGGAAGCCTGAGAAGGGCATCCAGTATCTCATTGAGCGTGGCTTCGTGCCTGACACGCCAGTGGGGGTGGCCCACTTCCTACTGCAGCGCAAGGGCCTCAGCCGCCAGATGATCGGTGAGTTCCTGGGAAACCGGCAGAAGCAGTTCAACCGTGATGTACTCGAGTAAGTCTGGGGGGTCAGGGCCCCATTCCACATGCATAACATGCCGTTAGTCATGGAGTCCTTCACATGCACATCACCCAGATCTCGTGTGCAGCATCAGCCTTGCTGTTTGTTGGGACATAGAGTTGACTCTTGCTTTCTGAAGAGACCAAAACCCCAAGATGTTCAGAGTACTTCCACAGCACCCACCTTTCTGCAGACAGCAGTATCTCACAGCTACTGATCATTCCCATATGATGCCAATGCTCTGTATACAGTTGTAATTCGTACAGTTTAGGGGGAAACAATAGAAGCAAGTCTGTGTTTACCATGGCCAAAATTTGTTTTGTTTTGAACTATTTGGAGCCTATGGTTGATGAATCTGAGGTTGGGAAGCCTAAGTGTTTAGAGAGCTAGCTGCCTGAACTACCCTGCCTCTGCCACCCATTTCCGATATCCCTGTCAGGTACACATGGCCAGCTGTGTCTGTCTAATGTAGATCCAAGCAGTGCTTGGTGCAGATGGTCTGCTAGCTATCTCTGCTAGGATTGTGCCCAGTCCTATGACTGGGAGATTTTACAACTGGCAGAAATACTGAGCCCAGGGAGAAGTCAGTATTGGGGAGGGTGCGCATAGTCATCCTTGACATGTGCTTTGCAGAGGACAACAGCGGCTGGGGAGCAGAGATGGAACGGCTCACCAGTGGGTGTGTTCTGTGGTGCCCTGCAGTGTGGTCTCAGTCAGTTTGGCTAGGACTACTACCCCTGCCCTCCCATCTCATATAGGTGGTGGCCAGCACTGTCCCTTTTTCCACACAGGACACACAGCAGGTGGGCTTGGGTTCAGATACACCCGCACATGCACTCATGCAGAAACCCTTCCTGAATTCACACATATGCACATAGACAAGACCAGACACAACAAATCAAAGGACTAAAGCTTTGGTGGAGGCTAGCACAGAATTGGCACCAGCAGAAGGTTAACGCCTCTTAACCAAGGGCATGCATGCAGCAGATGTCTTCAATGATCCTTACATGTTTCTTCTCCTAGTTTTCACTAACCAGCATGGCGAGCAAGATGCAGGGAAACCAGATCCATTGCCACAGTGTTTAGGTCCCCACTGCCTACCCCCCACCACTGGATTTCTGGTCTCAGGAAATCCTTGCATTGTTCTCCGCCCATTAGAAAATAGCACTGGCCTCAGGAAGTAGCCAGGCCCCCAGCCTGCCTCCTAGGCCTCCTGGAGAGAAGCTGAAGTGCCCAGATTCTGCCTGCCTGCTGCCCTCCTTAGGCCCCAGGATGGGCCTAGTTGTGGAGACAGGTCCCTGGCTGATGACACCACCACAGTCCTCGCTAGCTTTGTGGCTACAGCTGCTTTCAGAGGTGACATGGACACCAGACCATCCTGGGAAATGCCTCCCATGTCCCATCCTCTCTACTCAAGCCTCATCACATAGAGAATTGAGCATGTACCTGTCACCTCCTGCCCTGCTCCCTCACACTAAGATGGCTCAGTCTCCAGTGTGGCCCTTGAGAGGTTCCTCTTTAGCCCTGCCAATCATGTTCCCTCTGCATGAGAGCAAGACTCTACTGCCTGGGCACACATCCTGGTCTGGCACCTGTGTACCCATGGAATACATGAACTGCAGTACTGATCTCTCCATGAGAAGACCCACATCTTTGGGCTCCTCCATAGAAAACAGTTCGCATGCACGGAGCCTATGTCTCCGAAAACTTCAGGGGTCTCTAGATGCCTGGGGACCTGAGGAGCAGGTTTCCCAGAGGCAGTCTGTCTGTCCCCATAGATTCAAGGACCCTTGGCTTTTGAAGCCTAAGGCTCATCATGTGACAAATTGGATGTGCCATCCCATGGGCCTGGCTGCTCTCACAGGCCATCCATCTCTGTTCCAGCTGTGTTGTGGACGAGATGGACTTCTCTGCCATGGAGCTAGATGAAGCCCTCCGGAAGTTCCAGGCACACATCCGAGTCCAGGGGGAGGCTCAGAAAGTGGAGCGGCTCATCGAGGCATTCAGGTCAGGCCCTGTATGGGGTAAAGTGGGATGTATCACATCAGTGGAGAGGGACATGCCCCTCATGACTGTGCAGGGATCCAGGACCACATCAGGATAGGTATTCATGCATAAGTGCCTCCCTGTCTCAGGCACTGGGCTGGGCCCCTGGTTCCTGGCATTTGTAGTTTGGAAGGATAAACTTTATTCTGATTTTTCAGATGAGGAAACTTAGGCTCAAAGGTAATGTCTTCATTGCTAGCATTCTGATGAGTGTCTCAAAGTTTGCTGGCTTTCTAGAGGCAGTTTTCCATTCCCAGGCCTACAGTGTCTCATGGTGACCCATCACGCAAGCTATGAAACCATGTGTCCTGGGCCACTCACTGAATCCATCATGTCCCTGCTGTATTACTTTATACAGATCATTTCTCTGTGCCTCCCTTCTTCTACCTGTGTGGTGTGGAAAGCAGTAGCAATTAGAGGGGTAGAAGGATTTAGGGACCTGTGTAGGGACCTGGTACAGCAGTGAGGTTGTAGTTTCCTCGGGATAGTCTGCAGACCATGCCATGTTGGGGCCTCCATGCTTAGGCTGGGTGTAGATGGCTCTTATCCATGATTTACCCAAGCTGTAGAAGTGGGGCCAGGAGGAGTGAGGACATGGGAGGTGGACCACTCCAGGGTGGCTTCCCAGAGGGAGTGGCACTCAGCTGGGCCTGGTTGGAGAAGGCCTGCTCTGTCCCTGCCCATTCATAAGGTCTCCACTAGAGAGGCTATGGGGGGGAGGATGGCTGTGGTGATCAATGAGGCAGAGCAAGTGAAGGGAGCGTTGGGTCAGGTACTGAAGGCAGAACTCTCAGGCAGGCTCTGAGGCCATAGTGAAGGGAATCTGGCATCCTCTCCCATGGTCCTTGGTGACCTATGTCACTCTGCTGAGATGTCCCTACTCCAGACAGGAGAATGAGGCACACAGCCTTGAAGCTTTCCCTCTAGTACCTGCCTGGCCCAGGGATCCCAGGGTCCTTTCCTGGCTAACCATCAATCTCACTGGGATGAGAATGGGAAGGGCTGTAGCAGGGCCAAAGTTTAGGGCTAATTGGCAGACAGTGCAAATGCAAGGCTTAGGTGATCCCTAAACAGTTCCCTATCTTCCCAGCCAGCGGTACTGTGTCTGCAACCCTGGGGTGGTACGGCAGTTCCGGAACCCAGACACCATCTTCATCCTGGCCTTTGCAATCATCCTGCTCAACACAGACATGTACAGCCCCAATGTCAAGCCTGAACGCAAGATGAAGCTGGAGGACTTTGTCAAGAACCTCCGAGGTGAGCCAGCAGCAGGACACACTGCCACATAGCTCTGCCTTCCTCTGCCCCGAGGACCCAGACACAGAGAGGACACACATGTACCTGAGATCTAGGTTCAGAGGGCCTTTCAGGGAGCCCAGCACTATACATGGTCAGCAAAATGGAATGCAGCCTGCGCCATACATGCCCCTCACCACAGGGGAGGCAATGTCTGCTTGTTCCAAGGGCAGAGAGGACCTGCCTTCTGTGGGGGCTTACCTAGAGGATGCTCCCTCAGTCTAGTCCTCAGTCTAGTCAGCATGGTGTTTTCTTACAGAGGTGATTGTAGGAAGCCCATGCAACACCCCAGTACAGATGTTGCTTTCCTGCTGGATAGATGCCTTTGGCTGCAGGTAGAACATCCCTGAAGATAGTGTATTACCTAAAGAAGGTGGTCTGCAGCAGGCCCACTTGATCAAATTATTGAGTGCCAACTATGGCTCTGTCATTTGCCCCCCTCTGCAGGATGACCTGGGTAGTGCTCTCCGGTTCCTGTGAACTTTTGTGATGTCTTTACTTACCCTTTGCTGGCAGGCCACTATAGCAGGAAGGCTAGGAGCACCCCATATCCCCTGGGAGGTGGCCCCAGATCAGCCCCAGATGCATACCAATGGTTCCGGGAGGTCCTATGGGAGGCAGGGAAAGGGTGCTGAGTGGGCCAGGGCCAGAGTCCTCCTTGCACAAGGCTCTTGGCTGTATGTTGACCAAGGAGGAAGGCAGAATTACAGGGACCCCCCCCCCCAGGCCCAGATGGTGAAGCAACTAGTGGCTGCCTCTGATGATAGCCCCAGGCCCTGTCCTACTCAGCCTCTCTTGCTGGGCCAAGCCAATTTTTGTGGCTTTGTATAAAAGCCAGAACTGTTTTTCCTTGAGGAAGAAGGCTCCAGGAGGGACAGGGTCATGTGTATGAGGTCAGCTGCCTTCAAGACAGTGCTTGAGTCTCTCTCCCCTCCCTCCTTACCCCTCTCTCAATGTGTTTGGGGTGAGAGTGCTGTTGTAACCCTGCTAGGCAGGGCAGGGTTGAGCACCCCACTCCTAGGGAGCTGCTGCCCCATCAGATCTAGCCACCACTCTTCCAGCCAGGAAAGTTTGTGCCTTTGGTCCCATCTTACCTTTAGAGAGAGGGATAGGCCCAGGGTCACAGCAGTTGATTGGCTGGGGCAGGACAGGGTCTAGTCATCTCCAAGTTAGGGAACTTTCTGAGGGAGGTACACCTCCCCCCAGCACATGTTTCCTCAGTAGTTTTCCTCAGTTTACCCAACAGTGCCAATAGCAGAGAGGCCCTGTGGTGTTCAGAAATGGTGAAGAGGACTTGCTCAGCATCTTGGAGCCCTTCCCTTTAGCTAAATCTGTCAGGTTTTTTCCATTTGTCAAATGGGCATTTCACTCAAATCACCAGAAGCCAAGAAAGTATATAGTGAAGCCACTTTATTTACCAAGGCCCTGAACTCAACCCTGGTCACCCCAGAACTTTGGAACATCTGTTTTGAGTTTTTAAATTTACTTATTTTGTGGGTATGCATTTTTATAATATATGTATGTGCATCTCATGTACTTGTTGCCCACAGAGATCAGATTCTCTGGAACTGGAATTACAGCTGATTGATTCTCAGCACCCACATGGTGGTTTACAAACTCAAGTCCTCTGCAAGAGCATCCAGTGCTCTAAACTGCTTTAGGGAAACTAGGATTTTGGGGGCAATGGCATTATTCTGTGTGACAGTGTAGTGTTGGGGCTTTTTGTTTGTTTAAAGAAATATTTCTAAACTTTCATTTATTTATTTTATGTGTATTGGTATTTTGCCTATATATTTGTCTATGTACCACAGTTCATTGAGTTAGACAGTTGTGAGCTGCCATGTGGTTGCTAGGAACCAAACCCAGGTCCTCTGTAAGAGCAGCGAGTTTTTACTGCTGAGTCATCTCTCTAGAACTGTCTGACGAGGTTTGTACATGCTTGTCCAAGACTATGGGAGGTCAGACACCAAAACTGAGCCACTGTGCAAGCCACGGACTTGGTGCAGGGCATGGCTGTTAGCAAGCATGTTTCTGGGGAATATTGTGAGGGAAGCTGGGATAGGGAGCTCCAGGGACCTCCTGTCTTCTGCTAACTTTTCCTTGAGCCTAAAACTGCACTAAAAGCAGTCTATTTTGTGTTTTGGTTTTGGGTATGTGTGTGTTTTGTCTTTTTTTTTTGTTTTGTTTTGTTATTGGTTTTTTTCCAGACAGGGTTTCTCTGTAGCTTTGGAGGCTGTCCTGGAACTAGCTCTGTAGACCAGAGCTGACCTCAAACTCACAGAGATTCTCATGCCTCTACCTCCCCGGAGCTGGGACTGAAAGGTGTGTGCCACCACTGCCCGCCTTTTGTTTTTCTTTAAATTACATTTTCTCTAATTGTGTGAGTGTGTGTCCAAGTGCTCAGGGATGGTAGGAGGAAATAGCTCCTAATCCTGAGAAGGCTGGTCACTACAGTTGGACCAGAGCATGTGTATGGAGGTCAGACAGAGGACAGTTTGGGCGGGGGTGGGGGGGATGACACTCAGTTCTCTCCTCAGGGATCAAACTCAGGCCATCAGGTTTGGCAAGTAAGACATTTATCCACTGAGCCATCTTGCCATCCCAAGTTTTCGCTGTAGGGGGGAAAAAGGTGTTTTATATGCCCTGGGATGGTGACACCAGAGATGGCCACAGTTCTGTGAAGGCTACTTAGACATATCATGAGTCTCCTTCATTTCTCTATCACAAGCCCAGGTATTACCAATGCTTTTGGTGACCTTTTGTACAACTCAGGAGACTGGGTCGCCCATAGTTAGGAGGTGGGAAGGGACATGAAGAGCCTGAACTCACCCTTCAGCTTGCATAACCTGGGCACACTAGCCCAGCAGTTCTCACCATGTGGGTCTTGACCCTCATAGGGGTCACACATCAGATACCCTGCATATCTGAGATTTACATGACAATTTATAACAGTAGCAAAATTACAGTTATGAAGTAGCAACAAAAATAACTTTATGGTTCCTCACCACAACATGAGGAACTGTATTAAATTAGGAAGGTTGAGAACCACTGTCCTAGCCTCACCTGTGGAGTTGGGACCATTGTGGCCATGTCACAGGCATTTGCTTCACTTGTAAGATACATCTACAAAGGCCTACAGACATGGCTTATGTAACACAGCCCTGTTCTGTGATTTGCTGGTTCCTGTTAGAAATATGTGAATCCAATGGGGGCCCATTGCTGAATGGAGCCACTGTTGCCCAAACCCGCTCTCATGTCTAACCATTTTCCCTTGACCAGGTGTGGATGATGGTGAAGACATTCCCCGGGAGACGCTGATTGGGATCTATGAGCGGATCCGTAAACGGGAACTGAAGACCAACGAGGACCATGTGTCCCAGGTGCAGAAGGTTGAGAAGCTCATCGTGGGCAAGAAGCCGGTATGCAATTGGCCCAGTCCTCCACCCCTTAGTGTAATCCTAGGTCAGTCAGCTCTGCCACCACTGGAAGGGCCCTCCTGGCCTGGAGCTTTCTCCAAATAGTTCTGGTCCTTGAGAATTGCAACTGCTCACCTGAGAACATGAGGCCCTTGGTGCAATGGGCCACAGTGACATGTGGTCTGTACCTGTTCAACACTGACCTAGGGATGTCCGTAGACCCTCCAGAAGACCACAGGAAGCCAGGGCATCCTTTTGGCAGTACTCCTGGGCAGCCTGGTGGATGGAAAGAAAGAGCAGGTGTTCTGGGCAGAGGGAGGGACACAACTTATCTTTGAGAATGGGAATGTCAATTTATTTTTTGTGTGTTTCCTATAGATTGGATCCCTGCATCATGGGCTTGGCTGTGTGAGTACTTCCATTCTTCCTCTGATGATCTGTCAACAGTTCTGCCATGCCTCAGGGCTGCTACAGAGTCCAAATTCATTTCCAGAACCAGCTGAATCTCAATTTCATAGTTACCCAGCTTCACACCTCTGTGGGTTCTGAGACCTGAGGCATATAAGGAAGGTGATGCTGGCTAGCCAAACAAATGGGCTCCTGGCCTCTCGTGGGTATTCTGCTGACCACAGACCTAGTTAATATGCCTGAGAGGATCTTTATGTGGCCACTAAGGGCCTTCCTGTCTTCTCCCTCACACGTCATACCTTCACTATCCCAGCTACCCTGCTTGGCTACCCATGTGTCCCAGAATACACAAGCGGGCACACCCCTGAAAGACTCCATTATACCTACCTACCTGGGCCCATGCCTCTCGGGGCAGCCCCCATCCCAGATTGCCCAAGGAAAGACTCCAACACTCCATCCTCTTGCCCCCCTGCAGCCTACATCTTCATCTTCCCTCATACTGGGCTCCCTGAGCATGCCAAATTGGCCACACTGTCTTTCTCTCTTCTCAAAATGAAGTCCTGAACTTAGCAGCTCCACCAAGCAGCTGGCAGCTAGCTCACTTCCTGTGAACAGGCCTAGAGGGTTGACTCTACCAAATCGAGGGTTGACTCTACCAAATCATTTGTCCCCTAGCCTTGCTGGTGGCTTGCAGTTTGGCTTGGAGGGTGATAGCTTGGCTGTGGTGAAGTTGTGTGTGTGTGTGTGGGGGGGGGGGTGTGCTCCTGTAAGCCAGTGGTGATGTGTAGCAGCATGGATAAGGCCCTGGCTATCAGGCATTAGAAGGCACCATAGGGGAAGGATTTTAGTAGATGTCCCTGGGGATTCAAGTCAGAGCAAAGTTCTGTGGTGTCCTGTAGCACCAGCTACTCTAAATTCTGCATGCCTCAGTTTTCTCATCTGGAGAGGACTCCAGAAAGGCTGTTTGCAGAAACAGGGCTGGCATGTGAAGATGCTTTGGGAGAGGTCAGAGCCCATGGCTTCATCTCTGGCCATGAGTTCTCTGTGACTGGTATGGAGGGAAGGAGGCTACTTAAGTGCTGCAGGAGAGCAAAGGTCAGGAATCTCAGAAAGTGCCTTTGGGGACAGTGGTACAGTGCTCCCTCCCACCCAGGCCCCTGAGGGCAGGTGACCATAGTCCAGGTGTCTTTCCCTGCACAGGTGCTCTCTCTTCCCCATCGACGGCTGGTCTGCTACTGCCGGCTTTTCGAGGTTCCAGACCCCAATAAACCCCAGAAGCTGGGACTGCACCAGAGAGAGATCTTCCTCTTCAATGACCTCCTGGTGGTATGTGGTGTTGGAGGGTGTCAGGGCCCAGATATTCTTATGCCCATGCCTGAGCAAGGGCACTGGCCCACAGTCTTTCAGTTAGAGAGAGCCTCCACCTCATACCCATAGACAGGGATGTGCTTTGGCCTCTGTGAACATCCAGGGGGCCTGGCTCCAGAGAAACCCTGGCGTTGAAGGACTCTACAGCCTGAGCAGTACAGACCCAGTGAGACTCAAGACTTCTAAGTGAACAGTCTCCAGCCTACATGTGGCATTCCCAAGTATGTCACTGCCACTGGGTAGTGCAGGACTGCCTGGCTCAATAAGATCACCCACACCCCCAAACTGGCAGCAAAGTGCTGCCCTCCTCCAAATAGGATTTCTGTCCTAGTTTCCTTTCTAATGCTGTGATAAACACCACAATCAAAAGTAACTTAACAATGAAAGGGTTTAGTTTAGCTTATAGTTCCTCAGGATAAGAACCAAGACAAAGCAGAGACCATGGAGAAAGGCTGCTTACTGGCTTCCTCAGTTTGCTTTCTTAATACAACCCAAGACCACCTGCCCCAGGGGTCACGCCTCCACCTCAATCAAATGCCCCATTGACTTGTCTACCAGCCACCATAATACAAGAGTTGTCTCAATTGAGGTCCTTTCTTCTCAGATGACTCTAGCTTATCAAATGTCATAAGCACAATTACCCCACTGGCTGGCTTCTGGTCTCTTTGATAACAGTGACTGCTGTGATGGGCAGAGACCTCACTCCTGCATGAAGGTTTGAACCCTTGAACAAGTCAACGTCACCCCAGGTCTAAGTGTCCTTGTGTCTAGAGAGCCTCTTACATGTGACAGGCTCTCTGCCAGTTTGGAAATGATGGTCTTGTTCTTAGGAGTGGCTTTGAAAGAGAAAGCCTTGACCATTTCTGCCTTAGCTGCTCATACTCAGGCATGGGCACCGGCCCCTCTGCTGTGTGTTGGGCCTCCCCACAAACGCTCAGCTTCACTCTGTATCTGCTGCCCTAGGTCACCAAGATCTTCCAGAAGAAGAAGAACTCAGTGACATACAGCTTCCGGCAGTCCTTCTCCCTCTATGGCATGCAGGTCCTGCTCTTCGAGAACCAGTGTGAGTCTTTTGGGACCTGTGGGGTGTGAGAGGGCACATTGTTTCCTTTGTCCCTGACACCTCCAGCTAGGATACAAGCCTTCGGGGTACACATTCCATCCTCAGAGCACTACTTTGCCAGGGACTAGGGTTTTAACAGGCAGAAGTTCGGTTCATTTGTGGCATGTCCAAGAGAAGCATTCAATGCACAGTCTGATGACATAGGCAGAAGCTGAGAGCTCATTTTCCTAGTACAAACCCCCATCTGTAATGTCTACCTTATGGGAACCCCCCCCCCCCACTGGCTCTCCACGGAGTAGTATAGTTGGGCCCAGAACTGGTTCCTACCTATGGACCCATTATTGCTTAGGTCTGGCCCCTTCTTCCCAGCTGCTTTCTTCTCTTCTGTCAGAAGTCCCTGAGCCGGGACACTTGTTCTGCTCGGTGACAGTCTGAATACACCCCTCCTCATCTCAGGACAGGCTGGTGCAATCTTCTGATCAGCTTTCCAAAAACTGTCAGCCACAATTGGCCACCAGAACCATGGTCCTAGAAGCTGCATTTGAGGCTTTCAGCCCTCCTGTTCCTCGGACTGAGGGGCAGAAAGATGCTTTCCCTGTCCTCTCACAGCCTTTCTTGTTGGCAAGGATTGTGTCAATTCACTCTGCTCAGGCCAAGCCAGGGACCTAGTGGGCCCAGGAGTGAAGCCAGGCTATGAAGACTGGTGGTCATATTCATGTGCCCCCAGCCCAGATGCAGGTGAGAGCACCTTGCAGTGGCCGTGCCTCATTCAGCCACATCATATGTGCTTGGAATGATTTGGGTAAATTGCGTAGTTCACGTCTAAATTTTCACATTAGAGTTTGATATTTTGGAATTCAGCTTGGAGTCACTCAGTACTCACTTTGTGTGCCTTGGTGAGATGCTAGATGGGGTCTCTACTTCCAAGACATCCAAGCCACTGAGAGAGATGGTTTGAAGCCAGCCATGATTTTTTAGGAGTGAAGTCTTTGTTGTACAGAGTTCCCTGGGAAAAAGGATAAGACACCACACAGCTGAGGATGCCACTGTTATCCAGGACTTGGTGCTTGGCAGTGACCACGGGCTTCAGGGTAGGCTGTCACTCATGTCTTGGAGAGCAGGCCATTTGCTGCTTATGATTCTGCTTCTGCAGAGACCACCACCTCAGGGTCCGTCCCAAAGCACACCACCCTGTGGACCACAGTGACTGCTGACTCCATGGCCCTTCCTCTCCTCCCCTGCAGACTACCCCAATGGCATCCGGCTGACGTCTGCTGTCCCTGGCGCAGATATCAAAGTGCTAATAAACTTCAACGCCCCCAATCCTCAGGACCGGAAGAAGTTCACTGATGACCTGCGGGAGTCTGTTGCTGAAGTGCAGGAGATGGAGAAACACCGGATAGAGTGTAGGTCCCAACTCATAAGTCTCAAGAGGTCTTACCAGGGAGCCTTCCTGTCATGTGCCAATGATAATATTCAGAAGTGGTTGGTGCCCAGCAATGAACTATCCAGGTCTTTGTCTCGTCAACAACATGTGCCAGGGCAGCCCTTGGGGGGAGCCATCCTTCCCCTCAGCATACTGCTTGCCTTAGGCCAACCCTTGTTTCTGGTCAGTGGAGCTGAGCTTATGCCACTCAGTCCTTATCCTCATTCTGGCTCTAGGTCTCTGCAGATTTGCAATGCCCCCACCTAGTCCTCCATAGATAAGTATCGCCTACTCCTCTCCCAGGCCAAGTCTAACTTCGAGTCCTCCTGAGCTCAAAAGTGCTAAGTCTGTGTTATCACAGGCAGCCTGGCCTCCAGAGCCCATTTCTTTTTTTTTTTTTTCTTTTTCCTCCCTCCCTCCTTCCCTCCCTTTTTACCCTCTCTGCCCTCTCACATGCACTCTAAACACCCTCCCCTCCCATCCCCCCACCCCAATTCCATATGTAGGGGAGTGCCATCCAGTTGGGGTCATGTAGATCTGACAGGTCCTGTGAAGTAGGGACTAGGGCTTCTCTCCTGTCTCTAGATTAAGGCAGTTATCCCTCCATGGGGGATATGTTCGCAAATTTCTTTTGTGAACCAGGGATACATCCTGGCTCCACTGTCTGAGGTCTCTTAGACTGCTCAGTCCTTCTGGCTGAGACCCATATTCAGGGGGGCCTGAGTCAGTCCCATGCTGGCTTCCCAGCTATCAGTCTAATGGCCATTAGCTCCTCCTTGTTCAGGTAAGCTGTCTCTATGTGTTTCTGCAGCATGGTCTTGTCCTCTCCATCTACATCTGGGTTCTAGTTCGACTCAGTGTTTATGTATGGGTGTTTGATCCTGTTTTCAACAGGCATTAGTTGAGGGCTCCATGGAGAAGTTAGTTGTTGATCTCACTCTCCGGGAAGGACATTTATGATAGCCTTTCCACGTAAGCTCAACTTGTTAGTTCAGAGCCCATTTCTTATCCAGCATGCCATGCCATGATTTCCCTTTTTCCCAGGCATTGGGGCCCAGGACAGTGGCCACTGCCTCTCACTGGTCCTCCTACTTTGTTACAGCGGAGCTTGAGAAACAGAAGGGTGTTGTGCGGCCCAGCATGTCACAGTGCTCCAGCCTCAAAAAGGAGTCAGGCAACGGAACACTGAGCAGAGCCTGCCTGGATGACAGCTATGCCAGCAGCGAGGGCCTCAAGCGCAGTGCCCTCAGCAGCTCCCTGAGGGACCTATCAGAAGCGGGTAAGAGCTGGGCTGAGAAGCAGCCTCCCAGCCAATGCATGCAGGACTGAGGCCTGGCGTCCATGGGCAGGCATGGTGCTGGAAAGGGCTGCTCAGGCATGGACACAATTCTCTTGGAGGTCCTTGAGCATCCCAGGACTGTAGCAGGACACAGAAGTGTCCAAGGGACAGTCTGTGCAAGACAGCCAGGGATGGTGCCTCATTTCCTACTTCTCCCAGGGTCTTTATCACTTCCCTTCCGCCCCCACACCTATCGCTCTAAAGCTAAGAGCATCAGGCCGGTGCATCCATGTGCTTTCCACTGCTGTGCGCTCTATGCTAATGAATGAAATGGAAGCCCACTGAACTCTCTGGGAATACCCTTGCCACTGTCCTGGTTTGCTTCCTGTAGGGCTCTTTTTCCTGAGAATTCCAGGCCTTGGCTAGCCTAAAGCCACTGCCACAGGAGATGTGTGGCAGAGTGGGGGAAAGAAACCTGGTGGAAGCTGTTCACTGTCAGTGGTATTTCTTGTTTCTGTGGTTTAATTTGCTGCCAGTCATTTAGCCCCAGAGAGCAGGAACCTTCAAGCCACCTCACAAGGTGCTATCAGTGGCCTCATCCGGTCTTGGAGAGGAAACAGATGCTGTCAGAGCAGCAGCCCTGTAGCTACCTCAAGTGGTTGGTTAGCCAGTGAGTGTGCAGTGTAGCCTCGCTCCTTAAGTGAGGTGGGGCCCTCAGAGCCTGCCCAGCACTCTCTCCCAGCCCTCCCACCACAGCTCTGCCTCATACTGCTTTCTCATTTCTCAGGAATTTTTTTTTTCCTTTTTGAGTTTTCTTTGTTTTTGTCATTTTTTCCCCCATAGTGAGAATCTGACACCACCAGCATGAGGGTTTAAGCCAGGGCTTCTCAACCCGGGCACTGGAGACACTCTGGGGCAAATAACTGCCTGCCATTGAACTGTGCCTGGTTCACGGGGGCCAGCAGCACTTACTCACTAATGACAAACTGTTGCAACTCCAGAAATGCCAGGTGTCAAATCACCCCTGGTTGAGAACCACTAGCTTCCCAGTGACCTGTTCAACCCAGCCCATGTCACTGGACTGCTTGGGCCCTGGGGTGGTTTGAGTCTGTGCAGTGGCCCTGTGACTGAGGCCCAGGGCAGCAGGCTTGAGGATCAGGTAGGATCCCCTGTCCAGGTGCATCCCTGCAAGGATGGAGCTCCTTGATGCAGCTGCTTTCTGAATTTTTACTGGCACTTTCCTGGACAAGTCAAGGATTTCAGGGGCAAAAAACTCAGAGGGGATCCCAAGCATCAGAGTCCAGACCAAGACCACCTGTGATGTCCAGTGATGCAGCATCTTACCCTGGAAGACAATGGCAGGGCATCTGGAGAGGCAGACTTCTTGACCTGGGCAACCAGCTCCCAACAGGCAGCCCAGTCATCCTCACTCTCCACAGTGCCACCGTGCAAAAGCCTAAGGTGATGATAGTCAGGTGCACTATCTCATGAAGATGCAGGCCTTTATCATATAGTGGCACAGGGTACCTTGAGAGCAGCTACCTCTGATTTGCAGTAGTCCATCCCATTACAGACAAGGCCTGAGCCCTGCTGGAACCTGGGATGGCTCACAAGCAAGCCTGTCTGTTGATAGATACCTCCCTTTGGGAGAGGGAAGGAGACCCAGCTCTAGGCCCATCCTCTTCTTGGATCACAAGAGCGAGGGCCTGTCAGCAGACACTGTAGTAGCCATGCCCAGCTAAACTGAGCAGCACCAAGTTCCCACAGAGAGGCCACCCCTGGAATCACAGACTGTGGATCCTGTTCCAGGGCGGTCCATCTGTGAGAACTGGTGGCAGATGAACAGCTACATCGCCTCCTACACGATGTCCAGCAGAGACTGGGCAGCATGGGTTCTGAAGACAGCTGTCTGAAGCTTATGCCATTACTCTGCTACCATTCTTGAGCAAGTAGGCCCTGCCTCAGTTTCCCCAGCTGCATTGACAAGTCAGTGCATGTGAAGAATTTAGAACTGGCCTGTTAGCCTCCTCAGTCAGTGAGGTTTGAGGGCCACAGTGCAGAAAGGAGAGCTCATCCTAGCTCTGAAATGCAGCTGAGGTTTTGAGAACCATATGAGACCCTTTCATGTGAACCATGCAGACCAGGGGGTGAGCCTGTGCATCCAGCATGCCTTACTCCCAGGCTTGTGGGGGTGCACAGTGAGTACACAGTTCTGTGATTGATTGTTGAGAGAGCTGAGGAACAGAAAAGATGAAACTGAAGAAACTACAGCCCCCACTGGATAATACGTCCTCCCTATCTCCAGGTCGGGCTGCAGGATACAAACCACACAGTCTTTTCTGGGGAGCCTTAGGCATGGGAGGGGTTTGAGAGCCCATCTGAAAAATGATAGCAGAGAAGGGACACTCTTCATGCATATGTTTGTTATATACCACAGTGTCCTGGCCACAACCAAGAGAGCAGCTTTGAGTCAGGAAATAGTCATCTCACAGATGGAAAAAATGAGGCCAAGAGCCTAAGCAATAGTGGGTGTGTCCTTTGCAGCTCAAAATCTACTTCTGCCATCCTCATTGGGAAGCCTTGTTTTGTACCTGCAGATGGGAAAACAACCTTCTCACCAAAGGAAGGGGCCATTGACCCGGGATGCCCAGCAGCTGATATCTACATGGAGTCGTAGCATCGCAGCCTTCCTTTCCCTGACCTAGATCCTCCCATGAATCTGGGTCTTGGGGACAGCACTGTCACTACTGATCTCAGTGGTCATGTTAAGGCTAAAAGGCCCATAGTTGTCTCCACCTGATACTTCTGTGCAACCCAGTCTGCTTTGAGGGACAGACTTGCAGGCCTGACGCTAGGCCTGGCCACCAGAGAGGCATACCACAGCTCTTCATTCTCCGGAGGTAGCCCACACCCTGTCTTGGCCTTGGTGCTTTCCTTTGACACATACAGCATGGTGCTCAACTCATAGCTAGCGCTGCACCCACAGAGGCTTTCTGGAGATCCTGCACCCTCAGAGAAGAAGTCAAGGAAAGACTTCTGAAGGGACCACTGGGGCATGAGTGGGCTATTGGAAGGGCCAACCTCTCTTTGACATAGCCAGCATACATTGATGGGTGGATACCCATCATGTGCTGTGTCCTCATTGTAGACACGGTGGACTTAGAATGCATTGTAGTATTCTGAGTAGGGAAGCTAGACTCAGGAGGCAGGGCACTGCACAAACCAAACCATACCCCCAGAGGTACCAAAGGACAAGGGGCTCGCTCCAGACTCAGTTTCTCCTTGACCAGCTGCTCTGCCCCAGATGGCGGGGGGGGGGGAATATATATATGTAAGCGTGCATGTGGATATGCATATATATATATATATATGAAATCCACTGGGGATCAGGGCATTGTGCTGTTGCAGAAGCTGCACCCCCAGCTGAGGCTGGCTGTTCTGAGTCAGGTGAGCAGGCAGGAGTTTGAAGTGGTGGTACACATAACCCCACCTCAGACCCCCTCCCCGAAGACCACAGTTCAGGATAAACATTACAAAGTTGGACCTGGTTTTAAAAACATTTTCCCTTTCGCTGAGCGTTTGTTCACGCCATTGTTTTTAAAACTCCTCACTGCACTGCTGCTGGCCTCCCACTGAGCCCATTCAAGTCCCCTTAACTGGCAGACACATGGGCCAGCCCCAACTCTGGGCAGCGGCAGCAGCAGCAGCAGCGGCACCAGGACTGGTGTGTGTGTCTAACCTCTGGTATTGCATGTTCTGGGCAGGGAAGCGAGGGCGTCGCAGCAGTGCGGGATCGCTAGAGAGCAATGTGGAAGTAAGTAGGAAGCACCCCGCCCAGCTGGCCATCCTGTGTCACCCACCCTTGGTTTCTATGTTGTCTTTTTTTTTTTTTTTTTTTTTTTTTTTGCTCTTCCCTCCCCTTCCTGCAGAGACACAGACTTGGCCCTCCCGCCCTGCCTGCCTCCGCCCTGCATGCAGCTTCTCTGCCTAGAAGCATCCATGCCTCTCACTGCTTGTTCTGACCCAAGGGCTGGGAGAGGGAGGTGTGGGTTTTGTGTTCTCATTGCCACTCAACCTGTTCCCTGTGGTTCCTGAGCATGATGAACATCCTGGCTTTCAGGTCCTGCCCCAGGCGCAAGCGCCACCCGCCCCTCACTCATCCTCAGCTCTCACTGTTGGATGTGTTAGCCCCACTCGCCTGTCCCTACGCGCCACCATCCATTGCTTCCTTCCTGGAGTTTTACTGGCTGTGTGTCTGGGGTCAGGACACAATGGAATCGCTTAGCTAGCTCACAGGAGGAGTTTCTGAGAGAAAGAAGAGTCAGCGTGGATTTCATGAGCTTTCATTCATCCCCCCCCCCCCCATTGCTCCCTGCTGCCCACACCTTGACTCAGCCTACAGACCTTTTATTCCTCCTGGGTTTTTGTAACAGGCAGCTGCGAGGAAAGTCTAGGCCGTGTCCCCAGCCCCCAAGGATAAGGTTATAGGGTCCTACCTGTCTGGTACCATCATCCCAGATTCCTCTGGACCCCCACATGGGCAGAGGTCCCAGGAGAGTTTAAGGCCCAACTTCACAGGTTCATTTCCTTTTCCACTCACTGCTACCCACCCCTTGGCCTCACATGCTCACAACACCCTACCCGTGGGCTGATGTCTCACTCTGGCAGCAGCACAGCATGAGCAGAAGCATCCTTATGCTGTTGCACAGAATGGAGCTGCCCCTCACCTCCATCAGGACCAGCCCCCAGCTGCCCCTGCACAGTGGCTGTCAGGCCGAGCCCGCATCCTTCCCATCCTCGGGCCCAGCAGTCAGTGGGTGACTTCTGAATTTGGAAAACTTGGTCAGGCCTGTGTGCTTTGAGATCTTTTAATTTTGGTTTCTATGAATTTCCTTTTTAGGGCTCCATCATTAGCAGTCCTCACATGCGCCGGAGAGCGACCTCAACACGAGAGTGCCCATCTCGCCCCCCCCAGCCCGTGCCTAACTCCTCCTCTCTCCTGGGTTCTTTGTTTGGGAGCAGGAGAGGGAAGCCCCCTCCCCAGGCCCACCCACCCTCAGCTCCTCCCCCAGGACCCCCTCACGCCCATCACCCCGGAGCCTCGGAGGGCCCTCTGCATGGGCACCATGCACAATACTGCCATGCGCAGCAGAACCCACCCCCCTATCACCACCACCACCACTACCACCCGCCCCCACACCTGCAGCACACCCACCAGTACCACCATGGCCCACACGGAGGGCACCCCCCATATGTGGCCCATACGCACAGCCACCCGCCTCTGCCCACAGCTCACCCTGGTCACGCCGGGCATGCAGCGCATCACCATGGACAACCCCCTGCCCCACCACCCCCCACCAGCAGCAAGGCCAAGCCGAGCGGCATCAGCACAGTTGTATAGACAGTGTAGACAGCCGCCTGTCACACACCAGGCACACAAGGGCCTACCAGGCACCAGCCTCAGGTCAGCCCAAGGCACCACTGTTACCCTCTAACCCCATAGCCTGGGTGGACCTATGGGCTCGCCTTCCACAGAGCAGAGTTCCCACTGGGCCCGAGGCTGCCCTCAGCCACCATTGACCTTGACACAGCGCTGACCAAGGAGAAGTGGGAATCCTCTCACCCTGTCAGCCCTCAGCCCTTCACTCTACACAACCTGAAAACCCATGAAAACCCAACTTAGCAAAGAAAACATGATACAAAAGGCAGACACAGCAGAACCAATGCCAGACTGGCTGGGTTATTGCTCTGTTATTGGCAGAGGGCAAAAATAACAATAAGTAGACTTGATATGGGTGATGAAAATAAGTAAACTTTATATAATATAAATATATAAATATATAAATATATATATACATACTGTATAGGTAGTGTTTGTGTGTGGGAGCTAAGCATTTCATCTACAAAGCTAGCACTAGGGACCTCCTAAGGACTACCACATAAGTGACAGGAAGTCAATCTAGATAAATTTGTGAGTAGACCAAAAACCCTGCTAGAAGAAACCCAGGTCCTTCCATATTTTCATAGGAAGGAATTCCCGCTAGCCTGGCTGAAACCTTACACGCTCATAACTCACTGTGCCAAGTAACACAGCACCTGACTGTCTAATACCCCACTCTACTCTGTATAGACCCCTATTTTATTAACAGAGTACTATTCTAAGTAATCAGTATTATAACTGCTGTTATCTCCAGTAAGCAACTAGGCAACACACAGTCATCTCTACCCTAGTACTTGGGGCGACCAGTCTAGAGCTGACTGTCTCAGGACCTCAGCCCCACAGATCCCTAGACACTTTATACTGGCTGCCATAACTTTGAATTCCCATGCTCTACATTCCTTCCCTCTGTACATGGTGAGCCAAACTCACCCTCCCGGGGCCCACATGGTAGAGGGACCCATCCCTAACACTCATCTTCGTCTACCCAATGCCATAACTCCCTCATCCAGTTCCCAGCCCCAGCAGGCGGGTGGCGTGAGCGCTGGGCGGCCCAGGGCGGTGTGTGTGTCCCGTGTTGTGTTCTGAGTGGCAACAGCGATCACTGTAATTCCATGCAGCCATGTGCTCGTGACCCTGTGTCATCACTGTGCCTAGCCAATGAGTGCTTGGCCCTGGCCAGGCGAAGCCCACACTGCCTCTCGTGGTCCAGTGAGCTGCCAGGCCCCACATGCCCCAGCTGTGTTCTTGTTGCTTCCATGTGTGACACCATGCACTCCCCGGGGGCCACATGCTGCCCGCATTCCTGTGCCTGAGTCACCCACGGGCTATACTTTACAGTTTCAGCCCTTCCAGCCACCACAGCCTCCAGTGCTGTGCTCCTAAGCCTAGGACCTGAGGACCGCCTGTGGCCTCTGCCTGCGCAGAGTCCCTTTCAGAAAGGAAGGAGCTGCCGCCTGACCGTGGGCTGCGTCTAGGACCTTGTGAGCCAGCGGGCCTGCCCAACCACAAGAAATCGAAGCCCAGTCTGGCCCATCGGTTACCCTCATGGCCTGCTGGGGCCAACCATGTCCCTTCTTTCATCCTGTCCTGTCGTCATCGTCGAGGTCACGTACCAGCAGATCTGCAAACTGAGCACTTTGTATCTCTGCAGAGAGCAAATCCCACCACATGGAGGCCAGCCTTCTGTCTCCCAGTGACTTGGCCTGCCTGCCCCATCCTCTGTCGGCATGGCTCATCTTTCTCTTGTCGTCTGCACAGAAAGACAACTGATAAGCATAGTGTATCTGGCTGGGGCCAGCTGGTGAGGAGCTGCCCACTTCACAGAGCCCCATGCCCCTTGCTTTCCTTAGGCCCTAAGCACTGTCTGTCCTCTGTTGAAGGACACTGTCTGACGAGGAAGGGGAACTGTGTTGCATGTCACCTGGCACCAGTCTTGTGGGGCTGTGCTCTCTGTATTGTACATTTGCAAAATACATCAGTGTTACTGTTGGCAAATAATTGGAGTGGTAATATTAAATATTGCTGGCTTTTTCTCAGCATCTTCTGAGCCAGTGGTGAGTTAACCATGAACTTCAGATTGTTCTGAAAGGAGACATGGCCACTAAATATACTCTCAGTCTTTTTTGAAGGGACACCACTCAGGAACAAACCTGGAGGAAGGCCTAATTAATCTGGTGGGACGGGGCCTCCCTCTCTTCAGTCTCCTGCACTTCCTTGGCTAGCCAGGACTCTGGGCTCCTCTTTGCTCCCCTCCATGTGTCCTGGAGACATGCTGAAGATAATGGCTCGGTTCTAGGGACCAGGCTTCTAAGCATGCTCAGTCTTTCCCTGGGTTCCCAACTCCATGGGTTATTGGGTCAGAGTGATGAGGCCTTATGAAACTGTCATTTTAGAGACAGAGAATGTCTTCAGAGGATGTCTGGACCTGCGAGTCACACCACAGAACTAGCTTGGAAGCCCAAGCTGCTTGCATACTACTGTACCATACTGCATGGCATCCAGAGGCATGGTGGTCCCTGTCTGAGGAGAGGGAGACAGGAAGAGGCAGAGCCCCTCAGGATCTACACCTCTGCTTACCGCTATGAGACACACTGGGGGCCTGCACTAATGACAAGTTATTCTTGTCATCTATGGAACTGATGACTGACAGGAGGCACCTGGCAACATCACAAAGGGCTTTCCAGGGACAACAGTGAAGTTGTGGGTTTGTATTTTTTAAAGCTCCCAAGTGAGTTGTATAGTAATGTGAAAATAAAGTTCACCTTCATGTACCGTCGGTGTCCCCAGCCGCCTGGTATGGAGAATGTGCTCTAGCACATCTTAAAGCCTCCTGCGTGTTCGGAAGGGTGAGGCATCGGAAGGGTTTGCACTTGTGCTGTCTGAGAGCCACCCTGTGTAGTGGGAGAGAGGCTGGCTGCCATCTGCACTGTGAGGAAAGCCCAGCCACGGTACAGCTGAGCCTGGGTCCTTTGGGAGAGCCCATAACTACTGTGTCTTGCCAGGGTCTCACTCTTTTTGTCTTTCCATTCTGGTCTCCAGATACCAGGCTTGTCCTGTCTAGATACAGCTTCCCCCGCAAAACCCTGACTGAGTGACTGAGGGTGTTTCTGGGAGACTTGAATGAGGGGCCAGGAGTGTTCATCGATGTCTGTCATGTCCATTTCTGCAAACACTGGGGCTCAGGGCTCTCACTGAGCTACAGAGGGGATAGGAAATGGGAAGTACGAAGCTGAGAGTAACATACTGGAGAAAGAGTAAGAAAAACTCCTGTAAGCTCAATCCTGAGATATTTAAGAGGGACCATGACCCATGGTGAACTCTGTCCGTCCTCCATGTTGGTTAATGTGGTGTGTAAAGCTAGTTTGTGTAAGTTCTCATTTCTTGATCCAGGCTGTCTCTACATAACACACCTACGCTCCAGTGAAGGTCCAATTCCCCATGGGCATTCCCAGAGAAGCCTCTGCTGGTCCTCCCGTTAAACCACACTCTTCCACATGGAAGTGAGCGCCATGATCTGTGCAGTCCATGTCCTCTGTGTCTGTGTGTCTATCTGTCCAGGCTGTTCATGTTCTCTCCCAGGATAGGCCTTACCCCTTCAGGCTGCAGCCTATGAGCCTCTGGAAGGGCTACTACAGATGAGGCTTCCTGAAGCTGTGCTGGCCATTTGTCTCCATTGGAGACAAGCTGTATCTGGTGTTCCTTGCCAGCAAGTACGTCATGTACTGTGAAGGTCACCTACTTTATCTCTAGGGTACTTTCATGCCTATAGACTTCTGGAGAAAGCTCCTCTTCCATCTATCCCTGTTAAAGTAATATAGCCAGTCATGGTGGCACAAGCTTATAATCATGGAACTCGACACTGAGACAGGAGTATTGCCCTGAATTCAGGGCTAGTTAGCCTGGGCTACAGTAGCAAAGATCTCAAACTGACAAGCCTAGGCCAAACACAACTCTGCATTCCTGTAATCTCAGCACTTGAGAGGTCAAGAAAAGAGAATTGCCCTAAGTTCAAGGCCAGCCTGAACAACATAGTAACTTCTGGGGCTACATACTAAGATTCCGTCTCAAAAATGAAATACAAAACCAATTTGAAAGCCAGAGACATCCTACAAATATATGAAAGATGGGCTCACCGCGGTTATCACAGGTAAAGTCAGGATGAACCCTGCAGCACAATACAGTCAGAGGACTCAGTGGGAGAATGCTGGTGACCTCAGCACCACAGACCCCAAGAAACAGCCGCATCGGGAGGCTGTAAAGTCAGCACCATAAGCAAGTTTTATTATAGTATTGCACATACTGCCTGGTTACAAACCCAAAGAAACAAATGAACACCAATGTGCAAAAGTCAAAGACAGGGAGCTGGGCAAAATACTACACAAACACATAGGATCCAAGTTCAAATCCCCAGCAACCATGTGAAAGCTGAGCTTAGGGACGTTCATCTGCCCAGCATTGCAGAGACAAGAGGACCTCTAGGACTCGGGCCAGCTAGGCATTATCAGTGAGCTCCATGTTCATTGAGAGAGTGAAGGGAGACCTCTATAAGCATCTGCATACACCCACGTGGACATGTACATGCTCTAGATGCACAAAGCAGCAGAAGGTTACTATGAGACGACCTGCCTGTGCTGGTTCTTATCTAGAGTCACCTAGAAGAGGGAACCTTGGTTGAGGAATTGCATAGGTTAGACTTGCCGGTGGCCATGTCTGGAGAGTTCCAGCCCACTGTGGGTGGCACCATCCCCAAGCCCGTGATCCTGGGCTGAATAAGAAAGCTAGCTGGGAGAGGAGTCAAACCAGGGAGCAGCTTAATGGGCATTCTTTTCTGGTTCTGCATCAGGTTCCTTCCCTCAGTGACAGACTATCGCCTGGAAGTGTAAGCTGAAATAAACCCTTCCCTATGAAAACAGTCACAAAATAGAAGCTCGGTGTAAGAAAAACTAAAGAGGAAAATGTAGTCACCCCAGGAACAGTAAAACTTGTCTCCAATGGAAGGAGGTTTGAAAAGATCCAAGAAAGTAAGGCTAAAGGGTGGAGTCACATCAGGGCACAGCTGGGACATGGGGCCACCTAGCAATCTGTGACGGGTTCCTGAGGGAGAGGCATGGAACAATAAGCTAGAATAAAGTCATAAAACTGAGGGAAAACTACTGACTTAAAGGGTCATCTCAGAAGACTGCAAGAGGTGGCTCTAAAATCATTGACCTTTGAAGATAAAGATGGCGCCACGCAGTGAGAGCACATCACCAATGAAGATAGACGGGCATCATGAGACAAGGAATGGAGCAAGGGAGCTGCAAGCAGTCCGCACACTTCTCAGATGACCTCCTGCGATGAGTGATTGGGGTGTGAGTTTGACTAGGCTAAGGCATACCCACATGACTGGGTTCATTTTTCCTGGGTGGCCGGAGAGGGTTCTCGGGACGAAACCGACATTTGGCCTGGGAACAAGCTGTAGCAGTTTGCCTCACCCTGACAAAGGGCTGCCTGTCAACAATCCTTGGGCAAGCCTGGGTGGAGCAGAGCCCATACAGGGAAAGCGACTGGTCACACTCTGTGCTGACTTCAGATGGTGCATATATGTCTTGCCCTATACAGACTCCAGATTTCTGCATCTGGAATTCTGGATCTTACTCCAGAGACACAGCCAGTCTTTGGCTCAGGAGCATAGGTCACACCTCAGGTTCCTCACTGTCTCAGACATGTGATTTACACAATCCCACATCTGCACATGGCACACCATGGGATATCACAGGCTCTACAGACATCACAAACAAATTCCTTTAATAAATTCCCTGCCATCTCTCTCTGCAGGCTCCAGAGAGCAGGGCACACCCCAAAACAGTAGAATAAATGCACAGCTCAAAACAACTGCAGAGCCACTACGTTTCAGTGGGAACATGCTCACCTCTTTGATTGAAAGAAAAATACTGTAAGATCGGCTTGTATGTTGTCATCATGTGCCACAGTCATTCTGACCAAGACCTCATCAAGTTCAATGACATTAAACAAGAGCACTTGGGATCAGTAGATGATCAGCCAGAAAGTGCTTGCTACAAGAATGAGGACATGAGTTCAATACCCCAGAACCCACAAAAAACCTAGGCTTGTTAGTGTGTGCTGGGGAAGCTGAGACATACAGGTTCCTGGGGCTCACTGGCCAGCAAACTTGGCTATTTTATGAGTTCCTGGACAGTGGGGGGACCCTGTCTCAAAACAAGGTGGAAGATACCTAAGGAATGACAGCTGAGTTTGCCTTTGACCTCTACATGCACATGTAAGTGTGCACACAACACACACAATGCACAATAAGTATGCGTTCGTTCCCAAGCCATGTATCTGTAGGCTGATTGGGGTCAGCAGGTTTGGGAGGGAATCTCCTTTTAGCAAGGACCCGTGTGAGGCATAGACTGTGGATTAGCAAAGGCCAGTTAACACTGAGACTTCCATCATGCCTCCATTTAAATTCCTGTGCAG